GACATTTCTTTCAAGATTGTTCCATTTTTTTTACATTAAATCAATTTTTTTAAGGTATAATATAATTATTAAATTTGTCCCAACTATTTTAGTTCTCTATAAGAACAAATATGGTAATATTGTAGATCTCTAATATACACATTTAATGAAAAAAAATATTTAGTATAATATTTAGGAAACCAATTCAGGAGTTTTCTATTTTTTAAAATTGATTTAGTGATCATTAATATAAGCAAACAATTAACTGAATTAAACAATTAACTAATATTTTTTTGTAATAACTCATTTACAAGAAAAAAAATTATTGTTAGTCGCACATTTTTTTTATACGGATCTTTTTATATTTGTATAATTTTTACCATATCTTTACCACTTTTCCAGCAAAGTAAAACTTCTAAATGCTTACACTCTACTAATATCAAAGGCTGAAGTTATGGAGGGGTTAGGGTGAACAATCACCCCTTGAATAAAAGAGATTAAACAATCATTGATCCTATTATGTAGAGTTTTCATATTTTAGACCATTTATAAAAATTTCTTGCTCCACCGATATTTATCATCTAATTTTGATGTCAAAAGACGTGATTATGCCTAATATATAATAAACATTACTTTAAGTAAAAAGCAATTATGGATAAATATAAATAAAGCTTTGAAGGATTACGGCCACATTTAAATTGTTATGGCTTTTAGTTTAATAGGGTTTTAAAAAATAAAAATAAAACTCGCAAATTGGTTTTGAAATTGTTTTAATGATTCTTCCTTTGCTTGTTAATTTATGCTTTTCAAAATTGTCGAAGTATAATAAAATATATATGTGAAAAATGTGTCCCTTCTCCTGGATTCTAGTTTTAGGGGAAGATTATATTTTTCATTTTTTTTTACTCTCAATTTTATTATTGTTGGATCAAAATCAAATCAACGGCTCTCGCTTGATGTTACTTTGTAACCGTTGATTTGATTTTGATACAACAATAACAAAGTTGGTAGTAAGAAGTGATAAAAAAAAGTGATACTAAATATAATCTATCCCCTTGTTTTATATATCTTTTTTTAGTTGCTAATATCTATTGAAATATATAATATTTTTTATAATTTTGGATACTGATTACAGTACTTTTTTATTAATTATTTAATTGAATTAAAATTTGAACGATGATTTTTATCTCATTTTCATCAAATAAGATATGTTTTCATTGCATCAAATAACACCGTGAATAATATATATATATATATATATATATATATATATATATATATATATATATATGGGGTTATCATTTCTGCAGCGCCGTAGATAACACTCTCTACAGCTGACACAGAAAAGTGGGCCCCATGAGCTTATCATTTCTGCAGCGCCGTAGATAACACTATCTACAGCTGACACAGAAAAGTGGGCCCCACGGCATTTTTTTTTAAAAAAAACAAGGATCCAGTGCCGTATCCTAGGATCCGCACGCAGATCCTGGCTAGCTGCAGGTGCAGCGGCGGCAGAAATCATTTTGCCTATATATATATATATATAAATATATATATATATATATATATATATATATATATATAGGGTTCGCTTTTTGTCATGTCACATGACAAGACCATTTTCCTGCACACACAAATCAAGTGTGGGTCCCACACTTAAAAAAAAGTCAAACAAAATCAGGAAAATCAGGATACGGCGCCGTATCCTCGAGATACGTTGCCGGATCCTTGTTGCAAGAATGAACAGTGTCATTCCTGCAACATGATTCTTATATTTCCCACATATATATAGGGGTAAACATTTCTGCAGCCATTTTAGATAAGCTTATCTACAGCTACCCTTTATAACTATGTTCTCTCAAGAAAACATAGTTATAACATTAAAAATTACTTTTTTTCTCTCTCTCCTCATTTACTTTTCAGAACCTGTCTGTTGACGTGGAGAGAGAAAAAAAAACAACTTTAATGTTATAAGTATGTTCTCCTGGGAGAACATAGTTATAAATGGGTAGCTGTAGATAAGCTTATCTAAAGTGGCTGTAGAAATATTTTATATATATATATATATATATATATATATATATATATATATATATATAGGGTTTATCCTTTCTCAAGCTGCTTGAGATAATCTTATCTCCGGCTACTAAATCATAACCGTACAAAGATGGATCAATGGTGCTAAAGGAAGAGAGAGAAAAAAGGAATCATAACCATTCAAAGGTGAATCTATTAATATAAAGAAATAAATAAATAAAACGATGTAGCTTTGAGGGTAGTCGGAGATAAACTTATTTCAAGCTGCTTGAGAAATGTCTTTCCCATATATATATATATATATATATATATATATATATATATATATATATGGGTTTACATTTCTGCAGCTGCTGTACGTGCAGCAATCAAATACTTGCCATATATATACTTAAAAGCATTAAATGCAGGGAATCATAAACATACAAAAGATGAAAGCATTAAATGTGGGAAATTATAACCATACACCTGTCGCTGTTGTACGTAAAGCGGCTGCAGAAATAATTTTATTATATATATATATATATACATATATATGGGGTTTACATTTCTGCAGCTGCCAATGTTGTCAAACTCGAGTTTCTACGTAGAAATAGAAAAGGGTGGTAGAAACGTAAAACGTAGAAATGACACGAAACATAAAGTTTATACTTTCTGCTACTTAAGGTCCAGATACAAAATTATATATATATATATATATATATATATATATATGTGCACGTAAAAAAATATTACATAATGAACATGTGTGTTGAGCCACTTATCTATCTAAAAAGAAAAATTAGTTTTGATAACCAAGTATCAAAATTATAAAAATTGATAACTAACAAATAATGGATAACCAATATGCCCCAACTGTTTCATACACTCTGCAGATTTTGGATCATCGCTCATTAGGATATAATTCCACTTCTTTCAATGCATACAATGATCCAAAAACACAAAACGATTCCCATAGCATAACTTATAATAGAATTGCAGCTTTATAAGACATAATTATAAAATACATATATCCAAATAAAAAGATATCAAGATACTATGCATATGATTTGGGGGAAAATTGGATTTTTTTTTTAAATTTCTTTTTTGTAAATTTTTTTTTTTTTTAAATTTTTCCGTTTTAGGTAAAAACGTAAGTTTTTATCGTTTTTACGCTTTTACACGACGTTTTTACCAATTTTTTACAAAGACCGTTTCACTTATGTTTTAACACGCATCACTCTAGTAAAAATGTAAGTTTTTACTTTTTTACACTAGTTTTTGACAAGAATGACAGCTGTTGTACATGCAACAATCAAATACTTGCTATATATACTTGAAAGCATTAAATGCGGGGAACCATAACCATACAAAGGATGAAAGCATTACATTGAGAAATCATAACCATACACATGTCGTTGCTTTACGTAAAGTAGCTGCAGAAATAATTTTACCTATATATATATATATATATTTACAAAACATATAACGCAATAACTTTTTGAAGGTGTAGATACGATTTTGGTCTTTACATTTATTTATTTATTTGAGTTTTAGGGCATATTATATTTTATTCATTTCAGAGACATAAAAACCAATATTACCAAAAAGAAAATAGGATGTATATCATAATAAGTAGAAATTACAAGGACTGCAACCCAAATAAATGAATATATAGGAACTGATATGTTAATTTTAGAAATTAATAGCTCGTAACCCATTTTTTAATGGATAAAACAAACAGAAAAACATAAGAAAAAGTAAATCAAAAAAAGAATAAAATCAAAATTTGAAAAATGAAAATAAAAATGAAATCAATGACTCCATTGTCCCTTTGTGATTTGTGACGCCTAATCTTAAACCCCAAGTGCACCGTTACCAATCATCAAAACCTCAAAGTGTCTTAACACTTTTTGCTCTCCCCAACACAACTCCCTTAACCTTTCCTTTTATGGCTTCCTCTACCAAATTTAAGTGCAATAAAACCAACACAATGTACTGATTTTGGAGCAGAGCTAATTAAGACTGGACTCATTGGATATTATTATTTTGATCATATAAAATGTTCTTCATCACGTGCTCATGTCTAATTGGGCCATTCCTCAACTCCTCACCCTCAACCAAACGCACTTATTGTCAATCTTTCTATCCAAAAGAAAATCTAAAACTCGAAACAAAACAACAATACAAAAGTATCTGACGAAAGAATTATTATTTAGAATTGAACATCGTTTTAGTCCAAAATATGTAACATAACAGCTAATTCTTTTCCCTTTTAACTTAATAATTAAATTCCTTGTGTTTTCTAAATGTAATCCTCCCTAAAGCTTATGCCATTAACAAAGCGCTACTTTTTGCTTTCAATTCTTTGCTTATTTCACTTTCCTTGACAATTATGAAATGGGACCTTGAATTATCATGCATCAAAAAGGGAACATCCTGGTACAACACACTTGAAAAAATTAAACCCGAAAATCAAAAGGGATCAGTGTAACTGGACAAGTTTAGTGTCACCATCAAACCAAGCTCCATGCCGAAACAGTAAGCTTGTGGGCCATCTATTACGCATCCAATTTTCTCATGTTCCTATAAACCTATGACCCCACAAAAAAAAAAAAAAAAAAAAAAAACTCATTATTATTAAAATAAAAAACCCATAAACATCATTATTAAGAACTTTACCACAAATTGACCGCTCTCACTCTCACACACACACACACAAATCTAAATGAAAAGAATGATTAATTATTCCAAAACCTTTTCGTAACCCAAAGGTACGTGACCGCACCTAATATGAGTCTCAGATCCCGAGCACATTAAAACCATTCCTACGTGGAGGCAATCCATTCGTCGAAACAAATCAACGGTGGAGATCTTCGACAAGACGAGACAGGGTAGTTCGATCCTACGGCTCAGATGGAGGACCGAGAAAACCTCAGTGGAAGCGACATCGTATGATGCTACCGAGGCGTGTGTCTGTAGAACAGTGTGAGTGAAGAGAAAGAGAAAGAGAAAGAGAGAGATATAAACACAGAGCTCGCGCACCATTCTTAACTATCGAAGGAGATCACTTACCGAAGCGAAGACCTTTCTCTCTCTATTTCTTTTGTTGTTGAATGTTGAGCTGTGTTGGGTGGTTCGGGTTCGGATTCGGGTGACCCGATTGGTGCTTCGATGGATCCGGGTGCGATGATGAACGAGGGTTCCTTTGCGAATGGGAGTGGAAATACGGCGCCGTTTAGCTTGTCGGAGATCTGGCAGTTCCCGCCGGCGATGAATGGGTTGGGGCTGAGGAAGCCGGAGTTCGGACAAATCTTCGGGGGGCATTTTGGGGATTTCACCATCGGTCCGAACCGGGAAGTTTCGTGTAATGAACCGGTCGGGTCTAACCAGAGAGCAGCAGCAAACAATAGCCGGAAGAGGCGGGACTCGGAAGATGATTCGGCTAAGTGTGTTTCCACCAGCAATGGTGTTGCCAATGGCAATGTCAATGGGGTGGTATTTTCACTTATTTCTTGTATTCATACTCAATTATATATATATATATGGATTTAATTTCATAAAAATATTTAAAAAATTAAATGAAATATGAAGATTATGATTGAATTAACCATATAATTGAATGGAAATAATTGAAAGGGGGTTATTTGGATTTGTTAGAATGATGGTGATGGAAAACGGGTTAGAGCATCAGGGAATAAGAATGAAGGTGGTGATGGTAAAGTTGAAGGAGAAGCCAGTTCAGGAAAGCCTGCGGAGCAAAGCACTCAGCCACCTCATGAACCTCCTAAGCAAGATTACATTCATGTTCGAGCTAGAAGGGGTCAAGCTACTGATAGCCACAGTCTTGCAGAACGAGTAACTTACTCTCCCTTTTGAACTATGTTATGTTTTTGTTTCATTTGATGTTATAGTTTTACCACTTTTTTATGTTCATTTATGGAGAACTTGAATTTATGGATCTGTTGCAATTAGTGTCGTTGACTATGTTTTCTAATTGGGACGTTGGTGTACTCTGGACAGGCTAGAAGGGAAAAGATTAGTGAAAGGATGAAAATTCTTCAGGATTTGGTCCCTGGTTGTAATAAGGTATTCTCTAGTATGATGACCATATTGATAAGACAGTGGAAAATCATTTCTGATGATTGGTTTTATCATGATAATGATATATGTTTTCTAAGAAATTTTGAATTGAGATACTTTCTTTACTTCAGGTTATTGGAAAAGCATTGGTCCTTGATGAGATAATTAATTATATCCAATCTCTTCAGCGCCAAGTTGAGGTATCAATTCTATTTCTGATTTTGGTATCTGCATAATTATAATCTTTCTCAATTTTATATTGTTTTGAAGTTGATGTTAAGGATTGTAATGTTCTTGGATGTCACAGTTTTTGTCAATGAAGCTTGAAGCAGTGAATTCAAGACTTAACTCTGGCATTGAGGCGTTCCCTCCTAAAGATGTAAGTCTTAAACATCCATTGGTTTTTTTTTTTTTTTTTTTAATACTGAAACTCTGATTGTGTTGAAAGCTGGATTTATCCTCTTTATTTTGAATTCTTCCTTTTGGTAAGTCTTGAGTATAATTCTAACAGTTGTTGCAAGGATGTCTGTCAATGTTGAACCATCTTTTCTAGCCACTATTCGTGTCATTAAATTTTTTGTTTTATTGGCAAATTTTTAATTGAGTATAAAGCAAATTCTTGGTGAAATCTTCAGTTACTTCTTTCTTCAAACGAATGAAATGCTTCTGGTGCATAAAGTAATAAATTTGATTGTATAGGATTACGGAGAGTAGGAAATATTCTTCTATGTAAATAAAAGGTTAAGAAATTAGGAAGCCTTTAGGAACTCACACTGAAATCAAAATTGGGACCAAAATGGTTCAAAATGATTAGTTCAGTTTTTCATACTTGTTCAAAGATCTTCAGTCTTACAACACATCAACTTTTGTTCCAGTTTGGTCAGCAGACATTTGATCCAGCTGGCATGCCATTCGGTTCACAATCTACAAGAGAGTATAGCAGGGGTTCTTCACCAGAGTGGTTACACATGCAGGTAGGAAGTGGTTTTGAAAGAACAACGTAGTCTATGAAATCCCTTCACCTGGTAATAAATGCATAAATGAGCAGTATTCCATCCTTCAGTGGCTCCCAAAAAACAAAAAATGATATACACTAAAGGTATTAAGTCCAAATGGACACCTCATTCCCATTTTTCTACACGAGGCATAGAGCTGTTACTGTTTTCCACAAGACTGCTTCACTTTGTATTTAAGCATCTGCGTATGTTGGTGTGTTGGAAAATGAATTCATTTACTCAATATGTAGTATGGTGGACTTTTTAGGCTTTCTATGTTGATACTCAACATAACTCTTAGAATGGTCATTATTCTTGTAAAAGAATACTGCTTGCCCTGAATACATAATGCTTACATATTGTGTAATAGTCTCAACCTTGTTGTTTGTTTGTGAAGCAATGTTGAATAAATGAAGTTAGTATAATCTTGTTAAATTATTGTTGGGCTTGTAGTTCGTACAAGTGCGGAAAAATATCTTAAACATATTTATCTTATACTATAGGATTTCTAGAAACGTTGTTGGTTACTCTACGGAACTTCTTGATGTCAACTAGATATTGCCAAACAGATAACACAATTGACATGAGGAGCATTTCCTAGGAACTACGGGATGTTAGTGGTACAAGCTAACATTGGAAAGGTTATTTTGTAACGCATAGCATTCTAAAGGATGCTAAAATTGTACTTTTTGGTTTCCATCAAGTTTAAATTTTGTCCTATATATATTGCACAAATGTTGCAACCTTGTTTTCTTGCTCAATTTAGTCTAACTGATTAACAAAAATCACTAATGTAAAAAAATGAAGAAGACCCATGTTGTATCTAAATACTCTATCGAATCATTTAAAACAACAATTTCTGCGGTTCCTAATGGAAACCTCATCATTCTCGATTTAAAATCTTAGAATGCTTGTATGTGTAGTTTTGAGCTGTAACTTGCCATTATAAATAGTCAAATTAGCTATGTTGCAGGGATTAGGGCTGGATACTATGTGAAACCTTTTTTGGGCAGAATTTGCACATTGTGTTGCAAAGTATGCATTTAGCACCCATTTTGTACATTTGTTGGAGAATCTCTACTCTTACCACAATTGTGGTAAGTAATGAAGAGAGATATTACAATGGTAAATTAGAAAATATGGAAAACTATACTCACCTTTGCTGGGGTTTTTTGTAATTACCACAATGACAAATTCTAGAGTTTTGTTATAATTACGCCTGACTCCCCTGTCAGAAGGATGATCATGATTTTCCCGTGATTTGTAATGGCCTATATGCAGTTTTTGCAACTCTCTTGATAATTTTTACTTCAAATTCAATGACCTTTATATTGCAAATGTAGAAACCTTAGATTTCGACTAATTGAAGGCTTGTGGAGATTTTGGTGCTTATTCAATCCCGTAAGGCATTTTTTTTTTTTATTTGCTTCATCCATGTTCTTGGTCCTTATGTGAGTTTTTCACTTGATGCTAGTGGTACAAGCTAACGTTGGAAAGGTTATTTTGTAACCCATAGCATTCTAAAGGATGCTAAAATTGTACTTTTCGGTTTCCATCAAGTTTAAATTTTGTCCTATATATAATATTGCAAAGATGTTGCAACCTTTATTTCTTGCTCAATTTAGTCTAACTGATTAACAAAAATCACTAATGTAAAAAAAATGAAGAAGACCCATGTTGTATCTAAAGTACTCTATCAAATCATTTAAAAACAATTTCTGCAGTTCCTAATGGAAACCTCATCATTCTCGATTTAAAATCGTAGAATGCTTGTATGTGTAGTTTTGAGCTGTAACTTGCCATTACAAATAGTCAAATTAGCTGTCTATGTTGCAGGGAATACGCCTGGATACTATGGCAAATCTTTTGTTTACTTACCACAATTGCGATAAATAATGAAGAGATATACTACAGTGTTAAATTAAAAAATATGGAAAACTATATTCACCTTGGCTGGGGTTTTTTTATAAGGGAAGAAATTTTAAATAATATATTTTATGTCAATTTTACTCTCATATAGATTTGTTATAATTACGCCTGACTCCCTCTGATTTTTTAAATTACACAAGACCACATCGACTCTGGCTGATGGATGATCATGAGTTTCCCGTGATTTGTACCTTCACTTAAAATTCTTGAAGGCTTGTGGAGATTGTGGTGCTTATTCAATCTCGTAAGAGGTAGTGGCCGAGAAAAACAAATTGGATTTCTACCCCTAGAGGGAAACAAATCTTCCCGTATACCTAAATGGTTTACATTCATACTTTTTCCAACCCGAGTTCATACCAACGCCGCTTTAATAAATTGAAATAGATAATATGACGTTGGAAGCCATTCAACAAACTTTCATGCTAAATAATAATAATAATAATAAGAATAATAAAATCTTCATGAATACATTTTGATCTCTTGACATAATTCCCATATATCCAGGATTAGGTCAAGCAATAAACAGCAAAATTATTGATCACATAGCAATAAATGTTATTGAACTATAGACCCTGGGGATTAAAATAAAAAATAAAATATTATACAACAGTCCCACACACAGCATCTCCTTTGGCTCCAATTATGAACTACGTGGCAGCACTATCATGCTCATTATACTTTTAGCTACCAACCCCACACTCTCCTCTGCTATAGTGGCCGAGGATGTCCATTTGCATTCTGCAAGCTTTGTTCTTCTTTTGATGATTGCCTAAGAGAAGAATTAACAAGATTAACCTTTTGCTCATATAGCCGATTCAATTCCAAAGGAGTGATGAGATAAGTTATATCAACAACATTTTCAAAGATATGGGAGGGAAATAATGCCTTTGACCACCCAAAGAGTAAAGACTTCTCCCCTACTTACCCTTGATACATATATTGCATCCCTCAAATATCCAGGCATCCATAGAATACCAATCAGCAAAGATCAGAATTCTAGACCATGTAATAAGCATTAGGAATTCTATAACCTTTGTACAAATTTGCAACAACTGTCAACGACCAAGATATGGAGGGTCTATCCAGCCAATTCATTTACACTCAATAATGACTTGCTTACAGTTTAAAAACATAGCTCTTACCTCCTCATGTATCTAAGCTCGTGCCATTCAGTCTTGCTTCAGCTGAGTTGACTTCAAACATCACCTTGATACTCCCACAGCTTACCATTGGAGATCTTTTGTGCTGAATGAGTTTGGTACGCACTTCCTAGCATAGAATTCAACGCCATAGTAGCTCACAGATGAAAAGCTGAGGAGGTTTAAGAGATAGTTATTACAGGTTTGAATCAAATACCTGGAACAGTTCAGCATAACAATGAGATACTTGTAACCTAAAATTTTATGAGGAATTATACTTAATTCAAAAGCAGGGGATAGAATATGGAAGAGAAGAACAAACAAACTTAAAAGAGAGGTAACAATTAATACCTCTAGCCTCTGTAAAATCTTAGCAATAACTTCCTGGACTTCATATACGAACCAAAGTTACGAAAAGCAACTCAACTTATCAGCCTTTGATATTCTTCAACATGGGGAGGAAAAATCACCAATGAAAGGAGCAGGAGCAAAGGGAAACAACAATTAATAGGTACATTAATAAATATAGAAAAATAACCTTTCTAAACAACAGGGGTAGAATAACAGGACATGTAGTAAAAGCGGGAGAAAAAAAAATAAAAACAGGAAGCCGAAGAAAAAATATGCACGAGAGAAAGATTAAGGGAGAAAGCACCATGTATGTTGTACATTGATCAATTTGGCAAACATGTATGTACCAGTCCATTTGTAAATTCTTCACATTCATAAGCAACCTCCAAATTCAGAAATTCAGAGTATAAATCCTTAAAAAAAAAAAAAGAATCCACTAATTATGCCCCACATCTAAATTGTTCTTCATCCCATCATAGTAAGGATGCCTAAAACTTAAAAAATAAAATAAAAGAACGCGTGTAAGAGATCAATCTCCCAAGATTATTTGGAAAGTGAATAAAATGGTCAAATATATTACAATCAAGTTAAGCATTTAGTCATGGCAATCAATAAGAGATGGGGCTTACTAATCCATTGAATCTTAGCTTAGCCAAATCCATTTAAACAAAATAAATTAATCCAACCATATTAGACCAGCTGAATTTTAACTCGGGTAAGAAAAATTTATGATTAGAACATTTCAACTTCAAGCTTGTATTTTATCATTATTTTTATTAAATACTAAATTCAAGAGAAACCCAAAGAAGCTTATATCGTATGCAAGGAGACACTTACCACAAGATGTCTTGCAATCACCTAACTCAAGATGTCTCAAATTTATATTTTCGCTGATTCCTTCAGGCAAATTCTCAATATTGTTTCCTCTCAGATGTAACTCTGTTATTGATCGTGGAAGCTCTTGGAGAGACTCAAGTCCCTTCAATCACTTAAGTAAAGACTGCTCAGCTCTGTAAGTTGCTTTATGTTTCCAGGCAAACACTTGATATTGCTTCCACTTAGATACAAATGTGTAATGAATTGTGGAAGCTCTGGGAGAGACTCAAGCCTCTTGCAATCACTTAAGTTAAGATTGCTCAGCTCTGTAAGTTGCTTTATGTTTCCAGGCAAACACTTGATATTGCTTCCACTTAGATACAAATGTGTAATGAATTGTGGAAGCTCTGGGAGAGACTCAAGCCTCTTGCAATCACTTAAGTTAAGATTGCTCAGCTCTGTAAGTTGCTTTATGTTTCCAGGCAAACACTTGATATTGCTTCCACTTAGATACAAATGTGTAATGAATTGTGGAAGCTCTGGAAGAGACTCAAGCCTCTTGCAATCACTTAAGTTAAGACTGCTCAGCTCTGTAAGTTGCTTTATGTTTCCAGGCAAACACTTGATATTGCTTCCACTTAGATACAAATGTGTGATGAATTGTGGAAGCTCTGGCAGAGACTCAAGCCTTTTGCAATGACTTAAGTGAAGATTGCTCAGCTCTGTAAGTTGCTTTATGTTTCCAGGCAAACACTTGATATTGCTTCCACTTACATTCAAATGTGTAATGAATTGTGGAAGCTTTGGGAGAGACTCAAGCCTCTTGCAATCACTTAAATAAAGACAGCGCAACTTTGTAAGTTGCCTTATGTTTCCAGGCAACCACTTGATATTGCTTCCACTTAGATACAAATGTGTAATGAATTGTGGAAGCTCTGGCAGAGACTCAAGGTTCTTGCAATGACTTAAGTGAAGATTGTGCAGCTCTGTAAGTTGCTTTATGTTTCCAGGCAAACACTTGATATTGCTTCTACTTAGATCCAAAATTCTAATGAATTGTGGAAACTCTGGGAGAGACTCAAGCCTCTCGCAATCACTTAAGTGAAGATTGTGCAGCTCTGTAAGTTGCTTTATGTTTCCAGGCAAACACTTGATATTGCTTCCACTTAGATACAAATGTGTAATGAATTGTGGAAGCTCTGGCAGAGACTCAAGCCTCTCACAATCACATAAGTGAAGACTGCGCAGCTCTGTAAGTTGCTTTATGTTTCCAGGCAAACACTTGATATTGCTTCCACTTAAATTCAAATGTGTAATGAATTGTGGAAGCTCTGGGAGAGACTCAAGCCTCTTGCAATCAATTAAGTAAAGACTGCGTAGCTCTGTAAGTTGCTTTAAGTTTCCAGGCAAACACTTGATATTGCTTCCACTTAGATACAAATGTGTTATGAATTGTGGAAGCTCTGGCAGAGACTCTAGCCTCTTGCAATTACTTAATTCAAGATGTCTCAACTTTGTAAGTTGCTTAATAGCTGAAGACAATATTTCAATGCTTGTGCCCACGAAATTCAATTCTCTGATTTCCTCTGACGACACCGAAAATTTCTTGAGGCTTAAGCAGTTATCAAAGCAAAGAAATTCAAGAGATTTTAAGTGAATCTCACTTTCAAGACTGATCAAACTTTTACACCCATATAGATCCAAAGTAACAAGCGAGTGGAGAGATAAAAGAGATGGATGAATATGATACAAACTTTCACAATAGGAGAGATCTACTTCTTCAAGATTTGTCAACATAGAGAAATCCGGGAGTTCCATCAACCTTGTGGATCCACCAAGGTTTATTCTCTTTAGATTCCCCAAATCCTGTAAAAGTTAAATGAAAGTCATGTAATGGGGAAATTCTCATATTTCATGTAAAATATAAACTGAAATGCATAAATATATATACCTGCACCCCATCCCAAAGTTTTTCAAGGTGGCTGTCTGGCATTGAAAGCTCAACAAGCTTCTCCGTACAAAACATTAATGGAAGTGACTTTGAAAGGTATCTATCCCACTCAAGGTACCTTAATTTAATAGAAAACAATTGGACACATGTAGGAAGGGACAACAAACTATAATCTTTGACACCAGACGGCAAATATAATTTCAGAAATCTTAGATTAGTCATGTTTCTGAATGTGTCAACACTGAAATGTAGATCTCTAATTTGGGACATATCTAAATTTATGCCTTCAACTTTATCAGTCCCCTGTCAAACAAACAAAAGAATACTAATAAGTAATAAGTAACCAATACCTTAATATCAGTTTTTTTTTGTTCAAAGAAAAATAAGTTTTTTTTTCTTACCCTATTATATTTCAGTACTTTATAGATGTCCTCTGCAACCCACAATCGGCTGCGTTTTCCAGGATCTTTGATAGATTCTTGACGAACAATCTCCAAACCCATTTCTTGTATCAAGTCATGCATCTGTACGACATCATGCTCTATAGTTATAAGAGCCTTATCTTGAAGGTTTCTTAAGCCAATACATGGATTGAAGTCCTTTAACAAGCTCACGACATGCTCTTCACGCTCTCCCTTCAAAAAGCATGCAATGTCTAGAAATATGTCCTTCTCTTGATCACGTAATCCATCATAGCTCAATTGTAACACACTTTGAATTTCATCATCGGGAATCTTTTGTAATTTTTCCAGTTCACTTTCCCACTCAATTTTAGTTTTTGAATAAAGAAAAGAACCTACAACCTTTAAGACTAATGGCAAGCCTTTGGCATAAGCAACTGCTTTATTTGATAACACTTCGTATCCCATTAAAGGATGGTTATGTTTGAAGGCATTCAAGCTGAAAAGCTGAAGGGAATTCTTGGGGTTCAATTCCTTAACATGATGTATTTTTATTTCATCAACTCCTTTCCATAGGAGGACATGCCTGTTTCTGGATGTAATGATGATTCTACTACCTGATCCAAAGTATTGAAGCACTCCATCTAGATATTCTAATTGCTTTGAAGTACTCACATCATCAAGCACAACAAAAACTCTTTTAAAAGAAAGCCTTCTCTTAACAACAACGGATTCCACATTGATTTTTCTCTCATATTCCCCCAGAAGCTCGGAAACGAGATCATTGCGTAGTGCCTGTTTATCTTTTTCAAAATTTTCCCTTATATTTTCCATAAAACATGATCCTTCATATTGAGAAGAGTATTTACCAAATAACCATTTAGCTATGGTGGTTTTACCTATGCCACCCATGCCCCAAATTCCAACGGTTTGAAATTCTGTTAATAATGATTCAATAGGTGCAAGGTTTTCATCGGTCCCAAAAGGGCATTTTGATTTCCTTGGTGGGTACTTGTATTCCAATTTTTTCAAAACATCTTCGACAATCTTTTGAATTAGTGTCGATTCGTCCCTAACACGTGCCAAATAAAATTTAAAGTGAGTGAAAGGGTAATAATTATTGTATAACAACTAAAATAAAAAAACCTAAATATAAGACTTCATCAATCTCATGCTACGAGTGTATTTTAGTTATGTTATTTAAAATTCCTTTTTCATATACTTTCGAGGGTGTCCATATTTCTTATTTGTGGGAGCTGTGCATAGGATATTGTGGCTCCAAAGGGGGTGCAGATCAATAAAATGGAAATGGAGTTTCTACTTTTTAGAAGGAGGAAGGCTGTAACAGAGGCATTTTGCAGTTTCTAATTGCATTTTGATTTTAATTTTTGCAAGAGACTTGGACGAGACTCTCGTGAAAATGTGTTGAAGAAATAGTGAATTTGTTGATATTGATAGTTAACTCGTGTTCTGAGATGAATGATCCGCTTGATCTGAATGTGATTAATTATAAGAATCAAGAACATCTTAATGTTAAGAGACAAACCTTGCCATTTTTATAGTAATGGAAGGCTTTAGATAACTATTTCTTTTTCTTTTTTAACAAAAAAATAGTTTATATTTGAAACCAACTATAGTTGAATACCTCTTTAAACTACAAATATTTTGAAGTATATAAGGTTTTGTTTACGTCTTGGAGAACCTTATGAAATAAAAAGGCTTTGCGAATGTTCGATTAATAGATTGTTATAAGTGAGACGAAAAGAAAATAAAGATAGTACTATGAATTGATTGTTAAGCATCATATGAAAAATGAACTTGTAAAAACACAATACTTACCGGTGTATCCGAGAGTCCCACCCAGCTAGATTGGCTGCTTCAAACAGAGCTTGTTTCCACTTGCTCAACTTGTCTTGGTTGTTGCTGAAATCTCGCTCGTGTTTTTGGAAGGCTTCCTCGTAACTCCCTTTCTGCTTCCGCACGTTTGATGGGTCAATTTGATAGAAGACAGGTATCACATCCTGTCCCTCTTCCCTGCATTCGAGTATTTTAAGTAGTTCATCCAAGCACCACTTTGAGGAAGCATAGTCTTCTGAGAAAACTATGACCGATATGTGTGAATCTTCAATTGCTTCTAAAAGTCCTAGCGAGATCTCATCTCCTTTGTTCATTTCGTCATCCATGTATACTTGGATCTGCTTTTGACGCATAGCATGACGAAGGTGACTCGTGAAGTTGCTCCGAGTGTCCTCACCTCTAAAGCTAATAAAAACATCATATCTTTTGGGATGAAATGAAGCATCATAAGAAGAAGAAGAAGAAGAAGGAGGAGGCGCCATGTCCTGGATCTAATTAACTAAGTCTTCGTCAACAATAATAGTACTGCTATCTTGTTAAGAAGAAGGAAGGTTTATATATTGTGTGAAGGGGATAAATCTAACGGATATTCTCACTACCAAAATTTTTTACGTTACTACATATCTAATAATCATTAGATTAATATTTTCTCTCTTTTCAAAATTTTTTTAACAATCTCTTTCTTTGATCCAATAGTGATGTGATGAATAATAAACTAGTAGTAAAAATTTTTGGTAGGTATAAATCTAATAGCCTCACAGACTTTTAAGATTAACAATCACTCTCTCTCTCTTATCTTCTCTTCCACGCCACGTTATGTAATTCAATTCTCAGTGCTGTCTTTTTCAAACTCGGTACTATCAAACTACGCACCTCGTTTAACCATAAGGCAGTGTTTGGTTGAGGTTTTCTTTGAAGATATTCATGTATCTGAAATTGGTATTTTATAGTGTCCTTGAGGGTGGTGGCAATTTTTAAGAGACACATTAATGATTCGAATAAGATATAGAATTTTCATGTTTATTTCAACCCATATTCATATTCATATTCATCCGGTATTTGTTTTAACTAGAAAGTGATCAAAAAAATCGTGTCAAATTCGTTTCAAGTATATTTGTGTTCATTTCATATTTGTTCTACCTCAATCAACCCGTTCAAATTAAGTAGTTATGTTAATGTAATTGCATTATTATACTTATTTATCTCACTTTTACTTATTAATTTTAGATAATTTAATTAATTTTCATTTAAAAAATGAAATTAAGATATTATTTGTGTATTATCATGTCAATCCAAACCGTAAACATGTCGCGTTAGTGTCTAGATTTTTGACACTAGTTGTTGCTCCTGCCGTGTGTTTCTGTTGCGAGTATTTATATTGATATTAAATTTATATAAACTCAAACACGAACTGCTAATGCAAATTATCATCTCTTTGTATATTAATAAAATGTAAATATATCTAAACACAAATGGCAGCTGTTAAATGATGTTAAATAAATAAATTATTATTTATTAAGTTGATAATGACATACATGTCGTCCAAATAATGACATATATGAGTGACGGCTTAAATTCGGAATGTTCCTGTTACAAATTTTCGGGATATATTTAAAGATAAAATTTATTATCAAAATGATGGCGTTGTGTTCTCTTATTTGTTGTGTTCATTAATTTATCTGGAATTAAATTTGAAAAACCAATTGTTAAAATAAAAATTACAAATAAAAATTAGGTAAATTGCAAGTTTTTTGGGGGTTTGAAATTGGAGATGAAAAATGCAGTTGCTGTTAAAATAAAGAGGTTGCATTGCTTCTGTTTTTTAGCCTAGTTCACGTTACATTATTGGATTGTTTAATATGCTTTTTGTTGTCAGGTAATTAAGATCAATTTCTTAAGCAATAACAACACTTGAGAGCAAGCATTCTCCTACGTGAGAAGAGTTTTCATGGTCCCAGATCATCATTAACTTAGTAGTCCGAACCAATCAAAATCAAACAACTACCGAGAAGAGAGGAAAAATAAAAAATAAATTTTTTTCCAAATGTTAGAAAGGCCACATGGGCTGGGAGCACCAATTTTTTTTGGCTCCTACAGGACACACTTATCTTTTCCACTAGAATAAATTTAAAATAAAACAAATGTATTAATTTTGTTTAGTGTGAATACTTGAACACCATCATTCATGGGTGTAATGACCCAAAATTATTTTAATACATAAAAAGAAATATGGAGTTCCCACCAATTTTATTTAAGTTGGAAAGATAAAAAAAAAAACACTTTTAAAAATGGTTATCTTAAGTTAGTTGCGCAAATCATAATAATTTTTAGAAATATTTACTTTATTCCTAAAAAGATAAATAAGATTATTTAGAAAGATAGAAAATTAAATTATTGAACTTATATTTTAACTTGATGGAATGAGGAATGAGGAACTTAAAGCTATATGTATCCCCTAATGCAATGAGGAACTTAAAGCTACATCATTCTTAAAAGAAGCATGTGAGCTTGTTAATTTAAATATTTTTTAATTGAGAGTCTTAGGTTAGAAGGACCATTAAATATGGCCATTTAAAATCATCAAGCAGCTAAAATGACTAGTGGAAGAGTTAGTAAGCCATCATGGCAAAGTCGCTCGTTAAATAAAGATAATTTTAGTATGCTTATATTGATGGGATAGGGTTCTTTGACATCAAAATTTAACTGATGATTTCCGTTAATCAACAGTTATAATTTATTGAGAATTATTAATCAATTAATAAGTATGATCCAATAAATTATAACTGTCAAATTAGCAAAAATCAACAGTTATGATTTGGTGTCAAACTTTTTAGTTTGACAGTAGTGTCAAAGAATCCTACCCCTATATTGACATAAAGTTCACAATGAGCTTTGGATCACCAAGTTGTCACAACTAAAGAGACCCAAAAGACCACGAGATTAACATTATTATTATTTTGAAATTCAAATTGTTATGGATCATCAAGTCGTAACGACTAAGACATCCCTTTTATAATAATTTTAAACGACTCTGTCGCAACCAGAACACGACGCCACGACGAAAGAATTGAAGGTTAAAAACAATGAAGTCTCCACCAAGATTTTTTTTTGGGGAAACATTGGAAAAACCCTTTTTATTTGAAAATTGGTCATTGAACACAAAAATGGATTCGGGAATCGATTACGGGTAGGGAAGATGTTAGCACCTTACACCATTTTTAAAAAAATGGTTACCTTATATTAATTGTGCAAATTATTGATAAGATTTTAAATATTTATTTCACCCAAAAAATTATACAAAATTAATTAAAGAAAAGAAAACTAATTTTTGAAAATTTATTTTTTGTGCTTGATGGGAACGGTCCCTCTCCGACGTGTCCCACTGTACAATAGGAAACTCAAAGTTACGTCGTTATGTAGAAAATATTTACGTGTTGATTGATTTTAATTTTGAAAGTAATTTTAAAGAAAATCATTTGAAAGTTTTGGATTTGAAAGTTTCAGATCATCAAGCTGTCGCAACTAAAATAATTTGAAATGATGATTACATGATTAACAAGTTGTCTCAGCTCAGTTAATCTTTTTAAAATAAATTTCATGTTATTATTTTCATTATTGTAAATTTTATGATAAATTTAAATAAATTTTGAATCACAAAACCGTCACGGTTAAAATGAGTCAAAATAAAATATGTGGATTTAACAAGTCGTCACAGTTAAATTACCCTTTTGATAATAATCTTAGTGTTATAAGTTTCTTTATTATGAATAAAATAAATTTGAATCACTAAGCCGTCACGGTTAAAATAAACCAAAACAAATACTCGGGTTTAAGAAACAGGTTAAATTATCCTTATAATTTTAGGGGAGGGTCATACTCTATGAAGCACCGACACTTCAAAAATCCTGACGTGTCATGTCCGACACTTTTCGACACTTCAATACTCGTTGCAAAGACTCAAAAAAGGTTCAAAGGTTACATTGTGTTGCATTATAAGTTCCAACTATTAGATTCGTTAGATTAAGATTACGATTTTATTGAGTTTAATATAAATATTTGGGATACATTATGTTTCTTTGCAAAATTAAGGTATTATAAGTTTAGCTTTATTTTTTTGTTAAATTATTGAATACTAAATATAATACACACTACATAAATTAAAAATATTATATAATATCAAAACGTGTCCTAACGTGTCGAAAATTAACATTTTTTAAAATTAACGTGTTGGAGTGTCGAGTCGTGTCGTATCCTGTGTCCCGTGTCGGTGTCGGTGTCGGTGTCGGTGCAACATAGGTTAACTTACCATCAAAAAATTTACTACATTTATGACCAATTTAATCACAGTTGGATGAGAATTAAATCTAATAACTCACAATCAATCCTTATAATGCTAATTTTTTGCCCTTTCATTCTTTCACCTTATCTTCTGTCTAGATGTGACAACTGTCTCTCCAACCTCTGTCTAGTTCTTCCAATTGCACATGATGAAGTAAGGGTGTGCAAGGGTCAGGTCGGGTCAGGTTTTTGTGCCGACTCGACCCAACTTGGTTTTTATAGGTCAGGTATTTTGACCCGACCCGCTTTAATTTGATCCAAGTAAGGTCTGACTTGGTTTGTATTTTTTTGAACTAGTTCAGAACTCGGTCGGATCTGACCTCACTTGGTTTCTAAAGCGGTTTCTGAAGTGGTTTCTGAAGTGGGTCAAATCCGACCTGACCCGTTTTGATGAAATTATTTATTTACTTTTCACAATACTAAAAAAGATCATATTTTCGATGAAATTTCTACGTTGCAAACGACGAAAATTTCATCACAAAATTATTTTTTCGTCGGAATACTTTTTGTCGAAAAGCGACGAAAATTTTTCTCTAATGAAAATTTTTACAAAAATAAATTTTCTGTCGAAATTTTGGACTAAATTTAGTTTCCGTCAAAAATTTTGACAAAAATGATTTCCTCCATCAAATATTTTAAACGAAAAAAGAATTCCGTCGAAAATTTTGACGGAATGTTTTTCGTTCAAAATTTCAATGGGAATGTGTTCTGACGAAAATTTCGACGGAAATTGTTTTGAGAGAAATGTTTCATTCGAAACTTTCGACAAAATATAGATTCTTTAAAGAATTTTGACAGAATATTTTTTCCGTCAAATTTTTTGTCAAAAAATTTTATGAAAATTTTTGACAGAAATATTTTCCGTTGAAAATTTTGACGGAAATATTTTTTTATCAAAAAACTTGACGAAAATACTTAGTCAAAAATTTTCGAGGGAAATGTGTTTCGCTAAAAATTTCGACGCAATTATTTTTTTGTCAAAAAGTTTAACGAAAATGTTTCTGTCGAAAACTTTCGCCGAAATTAGAATTCTGTAAAGAATTTTGATCAAATATTTTTTCGTCAAAAAATTTCGATGAAAATGCGTTTCGTCGAAATTTCTAATGAATTTGTTTTTTTGTGAAATATTTTGACGAAATTTAGATTCTGTAAAAAAATTTGACAAAAAAAATTTTTCATCAAATTTTTTTATAGAAAACTTTTTAGTCACAAATTTTGATGAAAATATTTTTCGTCCAAAAAGTTTGCGAGAACTTTTTGGAAATATTTTCCGTAAAATTTTTTGACATAATTGTTTTACGTTAAAACTTTTCTTTTAACGTAATTGTGATTTTCTTTTTCTTTTTTTTCACATAATGAGTATGGGTCAAGTTTTGGGTTAACGGGGCATTATTAAAACAATCAGGTCTAAAACTGACCCAAATAAAAGTGGGTCAGTATTTAAACCTAGGTAAAAAAAAAGGTATTTATGGGTGAGGTCAAGGTCAAGGTCAGGTCAAGAGCATGACAAGTGTACCAGCTTTTTTGCACACCCCTATGATGAAGTAGTGAACGACTTTTTGGATTACGACATTTTTGTTTTTATTTTATGAGCAATATAGCATCATAAGTTTCCTAGATTTTTTTTGGAAGGAAAGGATGATCGGAATTTGTGTTACAGAAATGAATTGTCGTTTTCATCATACAAGAAAAATAATAAATAGCTGAATTCCTATAAAAAAATTTATTATTTTCTTTTCTTTTTCAGACCTTAATCGCAAATGCGCAAGTTCTAGCTGATAAGTCCATGAAATGTGACTTAAAACATATGGTTTTAATATTGAAATGGAAATAAAAGAATACTTTTTTTGTTATTAGATACCCCAATTACCAGAAGCTAAAATGTTATTGATTAAGTGCTAATGGGCTGCAATTTTAAGTTTCAGGCCCATATTGTACCTTCCAAATTAGAGAAGCCAGAAAGAAAAGGATAAAGCAAAAAAAAGGAGAAAAGAAATGGGCCGGATTTTATGAGACAAGGCAAACAAGCCCAATTAAAGAAGGAAGAAAGAAAAGAGGAAAGAAAAATAAGAAAAAAAGGAGTGGGCTGGACTTTTGAAAGGCAAGTCAGAGGCCCAAATTGAAGAAAAGGAAAGAGATTGAAAGAAAGGCAACGCAACTTTGACACAAATTAGAAAAGAAGAAAAACACGAACCCTAGCACTCACCGTGTGAACGAAATCCCTTTCATCCAACCCTAACCCCAAACCATCCATTTTGACTAATTTTTACAAATCGAACCACCAAGCCAGAGCATTCCTTGATTTCGGTCAAACCATCAAGCCTTAACCCTCACCCACGGTTCCTTAAGTGAGAGATTCTTTTGGAGTGAGGTTGCTACCCTTGCAAAGGAATTGCATGGTTGGAAGAAGTGCGTGGATGCTTGCTGTGGTGTGAGGCCCAAATCCCGTGCATGTAAAGGAGGAGAGCTATATAAAGAGGAGGAATAGTGGATGTGAGAGTCTTCTTCTTCGTCCTTCATCTTCTGTATTCTTCTTCTTCATATTTTTAGTTTTATTTTTATTTTCTGAGACTATAATGAGACTTATGTTGTTTGGATTAGAACTTGTCAGCACAGTACCAAGGATATTCTGGTGAATAGGACTCTGGCTGTGTTTTACGTTTTCTGCACTTTAGTTCGTCTGTAATTTTTTCATTTTCATTTTGTTGTTTTAGTAGCTCAACCATTATGGGTATGAGCTAAACTTTTTAAGGTTGGGTCCAGGTACCCGAACCTCAGTTATGGATGTTTGTTAATTGTTTTTGTTAAACTTTGATTCCAGTTGTTTAATACCATACTTTTTAATTAAATATTCTGTCATTGAGGCCTGATGGTAGATATTATGTTAGGAAATAGTCATCGAGAGGTGACTAATTCTGGAAATGTATTAAGCACATGGACTTGAGTGTGAGAGCATTCAAGGGCTGTTACTTAGAGATAAGGGCAGCCACCATGTAATTTTGGACTTGAAATGCATGAGTTCTTACTTCATTTAGCACAGAGATGTGTAAATGATTGTTTGAGATAAAATAATTTTAAGAGATTAAAATCAACAAGAAGTGTTCCGTTAATTGGGAATTAAATTTTAATAATTTGTAATTGACATTCAAACCATTGCCGTGGGAAAGATAACCGAAGCTCAACCTATTTTTCAACCTATTTTTCCAATCATTTTCACAAACTCATTTTTCTATTCCTCTGATTTTTAATTTTTCAATCATCATTCTATTTTTACAATTTGTTTTTCTTATATAAAAATAGTTTTACATCATATACTTAAATTGCTTTCTTACTATTTTTCATCCTTTAGCTCAAGAACTTAATTCAAAAAATTCTAAAAAATAGAGTAATATGGTCAGTGCTATTTTAGATTAATTTTGCTTTTATGTTTCTTTTCATAAATTCAATTTAAGCACTTGCACTTTGTGTTTTTGAAATTTTTGCCAAAAGATCCCCGTGGGAACGATATTAGGGTCTCAAACAAGCCCTATATTACTTGTTGTCGCGCATACTTGCATAACTGTTAGCAAGACAACACTAGCCATAAACACCGACCATGTACCGTACTTGTCCAGTTCCTGCTTGCTTGTTGCTCTACAAGAAGCCTTCCATCTCTCCAAAATTTGTTTAGTCTTTTTGGTAAAAATGAAATCGCTCCCCTAAACTTCTATGCTAATAAGTTATGGTTTCCTTTCAAGTGCTGAAACCCACCCTCTGTTCACTTTCACTTTCTCAATCCAATTTTCCCTGAAAATTGACATGTGATTCCCCACCCTCAATTGGAAGACCTAGAGAGAGCATGGAGAGATGGTTGTTAGACCTAGAGTAAAGGTGAAGGTGAGAGAGAATTAAAGGATAAAAAATTAGGATAATAATAATTGATTATGAGCCATTAGATTTAATTATGATCTACAGTGCTTAAATTTGTTATAAAAATGGCAAACTTCATTACTGGAAAGTATAATCCTCCCCCACAAAATAATAAGATTAGAGTAATTTTGTGTCCTCAACAAATATCACGAGACTCAATTTAATCCTTTAAAAAAAAAGTAGACTCGTGATTCATCTGGAATTCAAAATAGACCTATGTTAATCATTGTGAGGGACTAACGTGAGTGTTCTTTGAATTTCATAGGGACTACAATTTCGACTGAATAAGTCTATTTTGAATTTCAGATGACCATAAGTCGATTTTTTTCTCTCTAAGAAATTAAAATGGGCCCTGTAAATTTTGTTGAGGACCCAAAAGTTAATTTACTCAAATAATAATAAGCAACCATCTTCTACTAAATAAAATAATAATAAGCCACCCAAAGAAAGATATTATAATCATTTTGAATTTTGAAACTTTCACATGAAAAGGGTCAACAATCTTGGAGATACAATTGAAAACAAAACAATTTTGAATGAATATAATAGGTTATTTTACCATTTTGCCCTTCATTAATTAATTAATAATCATTTTGCCCTTTACAAAAAATCATCTACCAATCTGCCACTCTTTAATCGATTAACTTGAATATTTAATCGATTAAATGGTCAAAACTGACAAAAATGGTTGACTCGAGATTTAATCGATTAAATATTACTCTTTAATCGATTAACTTGAATATTTAATTGGTTAGAACTTATATTTAATCGATTAAATATCCCAAATGAACGTGAAAACATTGATTAAATGAGACAAACAAGGAAAACTCACTACTTTCAAAGGGGATGATTGAAATCTGTCTTACTTGCTATGAAGAAATATGAAATGGAAGTATTTCACCCTGGCCTGAACTGAAGTTTGAATATGTTAATAAGGGCTGAGTACATGCATGATGGTCATTCTCAACCAGTATATTGTGATTTAGGGACTTCAGAGGGTACTATTGAGATATATACTGATTTGAATGCTAACAGTGATGGAAGTATTGGATGTGCTCCAAAAGAAAGGGGGTTGTGGTGATGTGTATTGGAGCTGAAGTCCATACTTCCAAATGAATGGATTTCTAAGTTGGAAGCCAACTCTCGTGACATGTTGAAGAATTCTTGCAAAATTTAGCACAAAACTCTTCAGAAAGAAGTAATATTAAGCAGCAAATTTATGATAAGAGCTGCTTTTAGAGATGACACGAATGATAATAACATATATTGTCCAATGTCAAGTGACTTGTGAGAAGAAGGGCTATTTCTCTTGCAACATCATTGGATTAAAGGTGAACCAATCATAGTTTGGGATGTTTTTAAACTAGGGACAGGTCGGAGTTGGGAGCCAAAGGTCACTTGGCGAACATCATATGAAAATTTGAATTCAGGGAACAACTCAAATGCGTTAATGAACCAAAATTGGTTCTCGTTATGCAATGAAGCATGAGTTTTTCTGTTTGTCTCATTCAATCAATGCTTTCATGCTTATTTGATTTTTAATCGATTAAATATAAGTTTTAATCGATTAAATCTCTCTTAATCGATTAAAGAGGGAGATTGAATCGATTAAATCTCGAGTCAATTATTTTTGTCAATTTTGACCATTTATTCGATTAAATATTCAAGTTAATCGATTTTGAATAAGGGACAAAATAATATTAATTAATTAATGAAGGACAAAAAAGTCAAAAAGTCGAATATAATAACTTCATTCTTTAAATTAACAAAAACACTAACTTCATTCTAAAAAAATGGAAGATATTTATACAAATTTAATAGAAATATTCAGCAATTTATTCAATTAATTTTATCGAGGTGGATCACGGACGTGCGTGATGATGCACGCTACTAACGAGTGAATTTAGCGTAATGCTGATGGAATTTAGCATTTAGCACCACTGATGCGAACGCTAACGCGGGTTCCGAAAAAGGAAACAAAAATCTAAAATACAAAGACAAGGGCAAAATCGTCAAAGAGGAAATGGGGGGTTGAATCTCTTTGCTTTCGTTTCATTCAGCGTTGGAACCAACCCCAGGTAGCGCTTGGGCTTGAGATTTTTCATTTGTATTTTCTAACGAATTGATCGATTGACAGAGAAAAAGAAGAAAAGAGAAGAGAAGAGATCGCATGAAAATTGTAGGATGAAGGGATGGGATGGGATTCAATCTTCTTTCTCTTCTCGATCGAGTTCTACGATGAGTCATAGAGTACCTTCTCAAACGGTTCGACTCGGACGAGTCCAACCTCAAGCTCCAACTCACCGCACCATCGCCTGCAATGATCGCGAAGCTAACCTTCCCGTCCGATTCAAGGTTCGCTTCCTTCTATCATCATCCTTGCCGATTTTCTTTTTCTTATTGCGAGTAACTTCACTTTTTTTTTTGTTCTGTTTAATTCGTGTTTTTATTTTTCGGTTAATTGATGCTGTCGCACAATTATGTAGAGGTGGAGGATATTTTAGTGTTTGTTTGAGTAAGCTTATTAATTATTGAAAGCAGGGTTAGTAGTTAGTTTATTGATTTATGTTAATTTGTGATTATAATAAAGATTAAGGTTTACTCCACTTTGGTGAGTAGATGTCTGTTAATTAAGCAAGTGAGTTTTAATTGATCTCCAAAATGGTTGGAGAATTTCTCTCTGTGTATATGTTTTGCACTTCTATACTCTAAATAAACTAAGATGTTCTGCTTACTGGATTTATCGATTGAAAGAAGATAGTCTAACGAAACGCGTGAGGCTTGCTTGCGGATTGCCTTTTCAGTGACATAATAAGAGACAGAGACAGAGACATGCATCCAAACAGACAGTTAAGCATTGCAAGTTGCCAACTAAATAGAATGATAAGAAATAGAAATATGGATTACTTGATTTTGGCATTTTCCTTTTCTTTGATGAAATGTTTAATGTTTTTGTCGGTGAGATACTCTTCCTTCCCTTGTACGTTGTATCTCTCCTTTATTCCGGGAGCATACACAAAGCTGTCTTTTATTTTTGAAATGAAAGTGATGCAGCAAACTCAAAAATGCCATCAGGCCTAACAGATTCTGAATTGTTTGCTTGTGGGTATTTTGTTGACAAAAGCCATTCCTATTCCTTGTTCAGCAATAGCTTTATTTATGTTCAGGAAAGGCGAAGAACACATTAGTTTCTGCAGCTCATTTGAAGGTTCATTTTGGTGCTAAACGTTTGAATTGAAGGTTGAAGTACACCAAATGAATGTGTTCAAATCTTGTTTTTCTCAACATATAACCTTGAACAAGGGTTCTCTTAGAATATCTAGGAAATTTCTCTTAGTACTTATTATTGTATGTAATAATATTTTAGAGTAATAGATTGTCTCTTAGGATTGGTTTATGTTATTTCATTATATATCTTGATTTGTTTCATATTTATTATGATTAGGAGTCCAGAATTAGTATAAATAGGGGTTAAGTTGTGTATTTAGTAGCACATCATCAAAAGGGGAAACCTGGTGCTATAAAGCTCTCACTATCTGTGGGGTCCACGGAAGGGTCAGATCCTTTGTGTGGGTTTAAAGCAGACAGCCTTGACTTGCATTTGCAAGAGGATGATTACATGAATTGAACATGTGATTTCTGGGTCACATGGCGACAATACCAATCGTTATGCCAAGGCTCCTCTTCATTATACACCATATATCAATATTATATTATATTGTTCAAAGTTATGTTTTTTTCTTTTCCTACTTTTCTACCTATATCCCTATAATTTCATCATAGTATCAAGGGAGTACATCCTCCGAGATCTGTCCCATCACCATTCCACTGTTGAGCTTGCTAAATCTGGAACTCTGTTATTATGATGTCACTATCTCCATGATTCTTTCCTTTTTGTTGGTTATGCACAAATTTTTGGCCACTTGAACCAAGATTTTCTTCAACTGTCATTTTCTCTATCCTTTCGTGGCTACTTTCCTAGATCTGTGCTTTAGTCTGTTTTTTGATCAACCAAACACACCATGCCTCCTCCAACCTGGCCAATGGCTAGTCTCTAGTCCTTCTTGGAAAAGGGATGCATCGCCATGTGCCAGGCATTGAATTCTATATGTTTAATCTTTCTCGGGGTGTGGCAGCGTGTGCTACCACTTTGCCACCACCTCTGCCAATTGTCTTCCCTGGTCATCTTCGGTCAGATCTAGTGCCCCTTGCTTCTGTTTGCAACCTTCTATAGCTGTTTGGCTCCCTTGGGGTGTGGTGTTTCCATGTTTGGTAGTCAAATTTGATATGTTCTGATACTCTCCATCAAATGCAGTCTGAGCCGTATCTTTTTCCTAAATGTAGTTTGGTTCTATCCTTTTTCTGGATGCAATTTGATCCCTTATCTCTGTCCCATATGCAATGTAGCCCTGTCTTTGTCCTAGTGTAGTCTGTCCCACATCTCCAGTCCCAAAGGCATCCTGGATTTGCTCTGGCCCCTTCCCCTTGTCAGTTGTGTGTTATATTTTTATTTTATTTTCTTTTAGTGTGTTTAATAGTAACAAGCTTTACGTTTAGTACGCTTTGACTTTAGGAGAAGTGTTATTGTATCTCATAATATTTTAGAGTAATCTCTTATGTGTGATTTCCATATTTCATTATATTTCCTGAATTGTTTCCATGTTTAATTACGATTAGGCGTCTTGTATTTGAATAAATAGGTGTTAGTGCATTGTATATCGTAAGTTCGTAGCACATCGCCACACACCATATATCAATATTGTATTATATTATTCATAGTTTTTTTTTTCTCTCTCATACTCCTTTTCTATCTACATCCCTATAATTTCAACACGTAATAATAATGTGACAGCATTTTGGAGTTATTTATTGCATTTTTTTATGAATACAATGTATAAGTTTTCATAGTAAAGGGAGGGAAATTGAAGGTTCAACTACACCAACTGAATGCACTCTTCTGTTTTTCTCAACCTTTAAGATTGCACGAGGGCAGGAATAGCAGTTGACGAAATTTTAGAGTTTTTTCTAAGTAAAAAGTGTAGGTTTTTATAGTAGAAGGAGAAGTGAGTAATTTACTCTCATATACATGAAATAAAAATAGAAAAAGAATGTATTAAATTTATTCAAAAGGTGGTTAGAACTGGTAGTATAGATGGCTTTATCAACTGCCTATTTGGCAGGTCTTATTTTTGGCTTCTTTTCTCCTTAAAAGTAGAAGTTTAGTCAAACATAATATATAAAATCTCTAATTATAAAAAGAGCTTTTTTATTATAATGAATAATAAAGGAAAAGCCAAAAGCTTCTAGGAGGGTTTTTTTTTTTAAGATGCAGGCCAGCTTTTTGAAGTCCTCTTTTTATTATCTAGTTTTACTCTTATTCTATTTTTCCTTTACCCTAATGACAAATCATTCCATGTCCCCTCTTCAAATCCTTTACCCTAAACAACTTTTAGCTTTATTTTTTAAGCTCTTTCTTTAACTTTAGCTTAAGAGTAGCTTTTGGCTTAAAAAAAAAAAAGATGTACCAAATAGGCTCTAAATGAGATAGGCATTATGGAGTAGACTTGCAAATGTTTGATCGTGAATTCTTAAACTAAGTTTATTGAAGTGTTGTATTGATACGAGAGAAATTCAAATCTGTGAAGCTTAAAATATATCTTATAGGTGAGCATTTTTATTTTCCAAGACAAGGAAATAGGGTTTCCATCAGTTTTGATCTTTCAGATTTTCTAGGATGGATGAACTTACATAAAAAAATTGTGATGGCTGGCATTGCCATTATTTATTGGTCATACATTTGAAAAAAAAAAGTTAAGCTAATAACATAGATGTCGGATGAGCTGCAGTCAAGGGAGTCATCATGTAGTTTGCCTTACTGTTAATTGATCAATATGAAATCAAATTAGTTATTTTTTTCTGTTTCTCTAGTATCTGTACTGTTATGCATGTACTTTGAGCTCAATTTATTAATCTTTGTCTGCAAGCTTCAATAAATATTGGATTTCCTCTCCATGTGTGATATTATATTGTATATTTCACATACCTAGATTTAAATAATTTTGATTAGTTAATATCTATTATGTCAGGGGAATTCAATATCAACTACAAAATACAACTTTTTCACCTTTATACCAAAAGGATTATTTGAACAGGTGAGTTGCTCTAAGCTTTTGATATTGAAGAGCATGTAAGATGCATTTGATTTCTAGTATTCAATATGAGCTTTGCCTCCCATTACATGAGCTGTTACATTTTTGGAAACTATGTTATTCAGTAGTTTTTTGAAAGCACATTGTTTACTCTTGTAGATGGCATACTTTGGTCTTTATGATTTGTTATGTTGGAGGCCATTTGGCATATTTTGTAAACCTCTGTTTTTTTTTTTTAATAAATTTTAGATATTCCTGGTTAGTTGTTCTAATTGATGTGTGTCTTGAGGGTACACAACTAGTCAAAGAGCAAATTTTTTCTTTTTTTGCCATGTGATTTTGACTATGTTAGTTTTACCACCTCTTTATAGCATTTTTTTCCCTCTTAAATTATCATTCTTCCTTTCATACTGGTACAAAATCATGGGTGTGGAGTCAAATGGCGTTTTGGATTATTTGCACCCAACCAAAGAAAATGGTTCTTATCTTGCTTTACAATATGTCCAATTAAAACAATATGTGCTATAATTTATTTGCCATTAGTTTTTGTCAAAATTAATTTATTGTTGATTGAGGGTAAATCATGTTTGTAAATGATGGGGTCTATCATTTGCCACATTATATATGTATTTATGTTACTCAGAAGATGTAAATTCCTGTTTGTCCTGCAGTTCAGACGGGTGGCTAATCTCTACTTTCTTACAATCTCAATTTTGTCAACCACACCAATTAGGTATGTGAATGCTAATCAACTTCAATGTTAGAGGATTATTTTGCAACTTGCAAGCTTAATTGTGATTCGTGAGCAAAGAGCATACCAACTAGAGGGGCACAGTACCATCTTATATTTTCACCAAAAATTATTTTCTTCAGTTGACTGCTATCTGCCAGATTTCAGTGGTAGTAGCTTTCGACTAATTAGGAACTTTTAACTAGAGTGAGTATATGTATTACAGCTACATTGGACGTTGATCTTCCTCATTAGATCTTGATATGGGAGTTTGTATTTTGTACTGCATGTATGGTTGATATAGGACGGTGAAAGGTTTTAGGATTTAATGGGTTAGGTTCAGGGTTTTCTGTGGTTAATTTATGGTGGAAATTGGTGGTTTGAAGGTTCATCGGGTTATTTGAGGGTTAGGGTGATTTGGAAGCCATGGGGGTCGGTTTAAGGATCAAGTCGGTGGCCAACAGTATCTGTGAGGCTGTAAAATTAAAATGTGGGATATGATGTGTTGTGGGGTTATTTTTATTTTGATTGACAAAGTATTAAGTCTGTTGAAGTTGTATTTGTTAGATATATATAAAATCATTAATGTAGCCCCACTTAATAGCTTAAGCTTTTGGATTGAATTGGCGCTTTGCATGGTATCAGAGCTTCGGTGTCACGGGTTTGATCCTCACTGCCTCCCATTTAATTAATAATTAATTAAGTCTTGTGGAGTTTCTTAGCACAGGTAGGATGAGCCTGATGCATCATCACCCTTTAAGCCCAATGGGCTCTCATGTGAGGGGGCATGTTAGATATATATAAAACCATTAATATAGCTTGACCTAACAGCTTAAGTTTTTGGGTTGAATTGGCATTTTGCAGTATTCACTGAAATGCTCGCTACGAAGATCTTTTTGGTGTCATGTTGAATTTCTAACAATTTCTTTTAGAATTTTGTTGATTTTTCTTGTATGTAATTTGCCCATTCAATTTATTGTACCCAGCACTTCATTATTATGGTTGTCCTATATCTATTTGTTACTTTATTGACACACTGATAGGAATCAGATAGAGTTCTAATAATAGTTGGATCAGAAATGTGTATATCATATTAGTATCACTAATATCAGTGAGAAACATAATTACAATGAAAATAGAAAAGGAAACGATATTAGTCCAGATATTGATCTCTCCATAAAGAACTCAATACATTCAACATACCCCTCACCTTTCCCTCTCTTCACTCTTATTCCCCCCATCTCCCACCAATGCTGCTGTAACAGTTTCTCCTGTCAAGGGGAAGCACACGGCCTTGGCTTATAAGGGGTTCAATTCTCTATGGCCCCTACTATAGTTCACCCTAGTGATGGGTGGCTTTCTGTCTACACCTTACCAGAATCAAACAAGAAAATGGAAGAAGCAAAAATGATATTTGGATGGAAAGAAGATCTGGAATTCAATGGAAATATTCAGAGACCAACATGGACATGTCTTGAGTTACATTGTTTAGCTTCTTTCAAGGAGAAGCAAATCACCAAACGGAGTTGACCAACTAAATTCAGCTTAATTGACTTGGTAGTGTGGCCTTCTATTAACAGAGTCCTACTGTATCAGAATTCTAACTACTACATTGTTATGGTAATTACTTGTAGAATATGTAGAATATTCTAGATAGTATTTATTGATGTAGTTGGTAGTTGTATATTTATTGATGTAGTTGGAGGTTGCATATTTATTAAAGTAGTTGAGGTAGTTGGATGTACTCAATATAAAAAGGACCTATTGCGTCTCTCAATGAATCAATAAAGTATTATTCAGATAAAACACTTCTTCCACTTCTTCTTTTCTTCATGGTATCAAGAGCTGGTTATATTCCAGTCTCTTCCCCGTTCTGATTTATTTTTAAGTTATTTTCCTATTCCTTTTTTTTTTCGTTTTAGCCACTGCCCAAGCCAGAATCCTTACCTAGACACCTCCAACCACGAAACCAAGGCCACCATTAGGTTCAGAACAAAATTCCGAGCCAGCCCACAGAAGACCTGTGGCAATACTGTTCATCACTGTAGCAATTACTGTTTCACTGTGGCCAACCCTCTTCTTGTTTTGAGGGTCAAAATCGTATTTGGAGGAACTTTTTTCTGGGTGCCTGTTAGAAAGCCATGGATGCTGGAAATTCTGAAATTTCGCCTGGAACCTCACCCCTTCCCAACTCTTCGTCTTCTGGAGACAACCTAGCAATGCAGATCACCAGTCACCGTTAACGGTAGGAACTATGTGCAATGGTGTCAATCTGTTAAGTTGTTTATCCAGGCTAAAGGGAATATGGGGTATCTCGACGGAAAAAAAGGTACAACCAGCAGAACGTGAACCTGGTTATGATGCTTGGGTGACTGAAAATGCTTTAGTCATGACATGGCTGACTAATTCTATGGAACCAGATATCAGTCAAACTTATTTATTTCTTGATACAGCTCACGAGATTTGGGAAGCTGTTAAAGAATATTACTCTGACCTGGGCAATGTATCTCAGGCTTTTGATCTCAATACCAAGGTGAAAGAATTACGCCAAGGAGGGATGACTGTTACTGAATACTTCCTTGCTCTCAAAATACTATGGCAAGAGTTAGATCTTTATGATAAAGCAGACCTTCAAGGTTTAGAAGCTAATGCAAGGTTCAAAAATTATATAGAGAAAAGGCGTCTCTATGATTTTCTTGCTGGCCTTAATTCTGATCTGGATGATGTTCGTGGAAGAATTTTGGGACAAAACCCATTACCTTCCCTTGCTACTGCTTTTTCTGAAGTACGAAGGGAGGAGCTTCGCCGAAAGGTAATGTTGGGTGATAAGGACTCTAAGTCCTCTGATGGGTCTGCCCTTATAGCAAAGAATACTGTTCGTCTTTCTGGGGACTCAAAACGTTCTGACCGTTGGTGTTCTCATTGGAATAAGGGTGGTCACACCTGTGAAAAATGTTGGGAAATTCATGGAAAACCACCAAACTGGAAACCAAAAGGACAGAACAAGAATCGTGCTAATCAAGTATCTTCCGAAGATAAAGGGGAGGTGTCTCATGTCCCTTCAAACCTTGATGGTGTTTTCCTCTCCAAGGCCCAGTATGAGCAATTTTAGAAATTGATATCTCAACCTGCCGAGGCAACTAGTCATGTTGCTCAAAAAGGTATGGCATTCCATGTTGAACGTAGTAATCGTTGGATCCTTGATTCAGGGGCCTCTGATCACATGACAGGTAATGCAACCTTATTTTTCTCCTATACCCCTTACTATCACCTGTCACGAATAAGAACAGCTGATGGGAATTTCTCCACTATTGCGGGGAAGGGATCCATTAAACTTTCTGAGCATATTATTTTGAATTCAGTCCTTCATGTTCCCTCTCTTACCTGTAACCTCATCTCAATTAGCAAACTTACTGCTGAGTTGCATTGTGTTGCTAAGTTCTCTGCAAATGCTTGTACCTTTCAGGAACAGGACTCGGGGACGATGATTGGCAGTGCTAGAGAGGAAGAAGGGCTCTACTATTTTAAAGAGAATCCTTGTGAAAGGAGGATTTTTTCAAACCACTCTTTATGTTTATCAGATGATTGTAATGATGTTTTGTTATGGCATCGTAGGTTAGGACACCCAAATTTTGTCTATCTTCAGATGTTATTCCCGAACTTGTTCATCAATAAAAAGCCAAGTTCCCTTCTTTGTGATATTTGTCAGCTTGCAAAGCATTCTCGTGCCAGTTATTCTCCTAAAAAATATCATGAATCTTCTCCCTTTACATTGATTCATAGTGACATTTGGGGACCTGCTCGTGAAAAAAATGTCTCGGGTGCTCGTTGGTTTATTACTTTCATTGATGATCATTCTAGGGTATGTTGGGTATACCTCTTGAAAGATAAGTCTGATGCGGCATCCACCTTTAAAAATTTTCATGCTATGATTCAAACTCAATTCCAGACCTCTATCAAAATTCTGCGAACAGACAATGGTACTGAATATTTTAATTCTGTTCTTGGAGATTACCTAAACCAGCATGGAATTATTCATCAAAGTTCTTGTCCTAACACCCCTCAACAAAATGGGGTGGCTGAAAGAAAAAATAGACATCTAATTGAAGTTGCTCGAGCTCTTTTATTCACGATGCTTGTCCCTAAATATCTGTGGGGGGAAGCCGTCTTGACAGCCTCTTATCTCATTAACCGGATGCCTTCTCGGGTACTAAATTTTCATTCTCTTATCTTGTCTTACTAAATTTTTTCCCTCTTTCAGTGCTGTTTCTTCTCTTCCTCCCAGAATATTTGGCTGTGTGGTTTTTGTGCATATTCCTCCACATCACAGGTCCAAACTTGACCCTAAATCTGTTAGATGTGTCTTCATAGGATATTCCCCTAATCAAAAAGGTTATAAGTGTTACTCACCTTCTCTCCGTAAGGTTTTTGTTTCCATGGATGTTACCTTTTATGAGACACAATCCTTTTTTTCCCCGACTTCTCTTCAGGGGGAGTCTATTGGTATTGGTATGGATGAAGATAAGCCTGGGAAACCAAATGATGCTGCTGTCTTACCTTGGCCTTTGGAAACAGGGGGAGTTATTGGGAAGGAAACAGGGGGAGCAACTATACCTGAATCTAATGATCCTCCTTGTGATCCTCCTGGTAAATGGGGAAAATTTTACAGCAGGCGCAAAACACATGAAGATACTCTAGACTGCCAGGATCCTGATTCGAGTCCTTGTTCCAGCAACCCACTTGAATGTACTAGTACAACCAACATTGATATGCCTATTGCTCTTCGGAAAGGTACTAGATCTTGCACTGCTCATCCTATTTCCCATTATATCTCATATGAAAAGTTGTCTCCAGGTTTTCGTGCTTTCAACACTATGTTAGATAGTACCAGGATACCCAAAAATATCCAAGAAGCACTTGATGACCCAAAATGGAGGAATGCTGTATTAGAAGAAATGGATGCACTTACAAAAAATGGAACATGGGAGTTTGTGACATTACCTAAAGGAAAGAAAACTGTTGGTTGCAAGTGGG